CAGACACTTGCCTTTTTCACATCGTGCCGGGCTCTTACCCGCGTTACGATTCTCGTTACGATCGCACGAAAGCATACATCGAATTTTCTCTTGGAATTTAACCGGAAAATCATGGTAATCGTGGTGGGACAACATGGGGTTGGAAGAATTTTAGAAGAGTTTCTCTGATTGATATTTATCACGATAAAAAATATTAATATGTACATAGTAAATTTTACTATGTATATAGTAAAATTAATCGAGTATATTTTATATCTTATTGTGGTAGATATTCATATTTTTATTGTGGTAAATATTCAATCACAGAAAAACTCTTATAAAATTCTTCCAATACCATATTGTCCCAGGATACCATGATTTTCAGGGTTTTTAAGAGAAAATTCTCTCTGTGCAGAAATTTTTTACAATTACAATCTTATTGCTTTTTTTTAGTCAACTGTATTATTTTTCTGTAAAAAAAATAAAAAAACACATGTACAAGTTTTCGGGAGAGAATAAAAAGTGAACATTGAGAGAGAATCTTTTTACATGGAATCAATCTCGCTGTAGTTGAAGATTAATCTAATACAGATAATTATAAAACAATAATATAGGTGCACAAGAGATAATTTCTCTGATTGATATTTATCACAATAAAAAATATTAATATGTACATAGTAAAATTAATCGAACATATTTTATATCTTATTGTGATAGATATTCATATTTTTATTGTGGTAAATATTAATCAGAAAAATTCTTTTAACATTCTTGCGATACAAATTTTAAGAAAAAATTCTCTCTGTGTATAATCTTGGAAAAGAATTTTATTCGTATATGTAACATCAATCGAATTTTATTGAAACTATATTATTTCGAATCTTCTTCGTTAGGGGTTGAAATCAAGATGGTTCCGGTGAAATTTTATATTTTCTCGCTATATAAGATATGTGGAAAATTTATCTCTCTTATTCGATTACACGTAGGACCTTCGGAAGGACATGATTAAAAATAAGTGATTTATTAGATGTATAGTATTCAAATATGACAAAATAGACGTAGATATAGATGAAGAAAAACGTAAATTTGAATGTAATGCGAACGAATGTGTAATATGAACGAAAACAGAAACGTGAACTTGAATGTGGACGTAAAAATAAAAGTGGACTTAAAAATATATAAAAATATTTTTGTATATATATATATATATATATATATATAAATATAAAAACATGAATATACATATGAATTTAAATATGATTTTGGAGAGAAAGGATATAAATATGCATGTAAATGCAGACTTACACATGGATATGTGTATGGTATTCGATTTTGAAACGCATTTTTGCACATTTATTTATTGCCGCTTCTTAAGAAGATACTATGAGATTTTTATAAATTTTAGAGCTCATTATTGTCCTGCAATTCTCATTATTTCCGATTAAAAGTATTCTCGCAGCTACTTACCCCTTTCAGTATTCAGCAGCATCTAATTGTAAGTAAAAGATACAGGATATTGTAAGAGGATGTGATAAACGCAGATAACAACATTTGATCTCTTATTACTTTAAATAACATCAACTTTACTCGATTACAGTTCGATCGTACATCGTGATCTCTTAACTTATATCTACTTACGCATCATCGTATCTCCCTTTTCATTTTTCCTCGCATTTATACGCACATATACACACACACACACATACATACAACTCGCCGATACGCACACACGCTCATGGATAACGACGTTCATAATCATTCTCGGCAATTCGTCTTAGTTAGTTGTGCAACGTTAGGTTTGTCCGCTAAAATACACGAATGAAAACCGGAGAGGACCAAGATGATAATGATAATAATGATCATTAATAATAATCGTCCTTGCGTCGCGATTCTCCTCTCGTTCACACTCGCTTCCGCTCTTTTTCCGCTCGAGTTTTGCGTGCGAGTTACGTGATTTGTGCAAGACTCTCATTACGATTAACTTTTCCTATTCGTAAAAATTAATTCTTTAACTTTGGTCGAATCGCAGCGTTCGTTTCGTAGAAAATTTCTTAAGTAACTTTCGATCGTGATTATCGGTTTACAAGCAAAAGGATCTCGGAAGTGTGGAGACAAAGCAACTTCCGGGGAAAACATTCAGAAAAAGTCAGTCGGAAGCTGCCCATTTGTGCATCATAATTTGTGTATACTCTTGAATGGTACACGTTTATACAGGGTGTATACTCCTAAAAAAAATTGATTTGCCCCTTTGATTTTAAAATATAGTTTTAATGAATATAAAATTTATGTTTTATATCAAGTATATCATATAATACTATATTATATTATTATATTAAAAAAAAAAATACTTCATTTATGTTAAAAATTATGTATAACAAATAAACTCATTAAAAAAAAATTGTATTCTAAATATTTAAAATACTTCAATTTTACCTGGAATTTTGAACAAAAGTACCTGCGGAAAATCATGGAATCCTCAGGGAATTTATTTCTAAGATTTGAGTATACACCTTGTTATAAAAAACAGTTTATAATGTTATAAATAATTTATCCGAGGGCATATAATACTTGCTGCCTATGTGCGAGGCACCGCTATTAACGTAAAACTTGATTAAAACTATTTCGTATTTGACGAACGCGAAACTGCAAAGTGATAGTTTGTGTGTTTCATGATTTCGATTGAATCTTATTATCTAATATAATTTGATAAAACGTACGATATAGCAAGATTGGCTTTAACTTTGAGCTTTTAAAGGCGACCTAACAAATTATTTTCATCCAAAAAATTTTTCTAAATCTTACAGACATGTCAAATAATTAAGAAAAAATTGTCCATTTAATGCAAAGTTATTTAATTGCGTCGTAAATTCTGTCAAATAGCGGAAGGTTTTGTGTCATTCTTACTTGTTAGAATCATTGTTATGTGCATTCGGTTTTTTATCTCTTTTCGTTCAGATACATTCTACATTAATCGATTTCTTTGATGAGCCATTAATATTCTCTTTATTGTAACGCGTAATGTGGCACTTTCGAATTGTCGAATAAATAGTATAAAGTACTTTTGTTGGCGCGCGATTTATTCCCGTAAAGATGAGAACAAACACGCAGAACACACATAGATGAATGTGAAAGATGCGAAATGAAAATAACGCCGGTAGGTTCTGTGCCGTAAGATCGAAGATATTATTTTTTTTTTTAACCCTACGTCTATCTCTTTCCTTTCACCTCGATTTTATCCCCTACCCTGTTTCGTCCCGAGGACTCTCTCGTAAGGGAAATCCTTTCTCTCCTTGACATCCTAGATAAGAATCTACAAGGCAATGTCGCAGCTAACGGAATATTCAGGACATCAGGCGCGCGAGTTATTTTACGAATGGAAAGTCGACATTTTTCAGATGAATTCAAATTCAAAAAAATAAATTTTAAAAAATAAATTTATTTGCAAATAAAACATATTATGCGTATTATAATACAATTTTATTTTAATTTTTATTAAGAGAAAATAAGAGTCACAAAAATCACGATATTCGGGAATAAAAAAAAATTATTTTGCGAGCAAAAAAGCAATATATTTAATATATTTCTCGCTTGAATAACAAATTAACGATTCATCTCAATATCTCGACTTTTCTATCTCTATCACACTCTCGCATAATGTCTTCTTCTCTTTTCTTTTCCCTTTCACATCCTTTTTTTCGCGCAACATTCTCGTTACTTCTCCCTCTCTCATTGTTTTCAGATATATTTTATGTACAGACTGCGAATAAATGATAACTTACGCTATCTTATATGCTGCGACAAGCATTCACTGTCTACTGGGAGTACCCTAAAGTTTCACACCCATTCCCCGGCTGCTTCTATGCAATTCAATCACTACACGCAATATCACATTTTTTTATCAATAATAATAATTACTCTTGATGAAATGTATCATCTTGCGCGATATAATGGTTTTTTTTTTAAATTATAATTATACTTCCTCATTCCGCACAAACCACGCATCTATGGAATGTGAATTGTAGAAATAATAAAACATCTTGTAATTTGAAATATTTTAGCTGGTTCATGTCCCGTTGTTGTTAAAAATGTTCACTATATTTTTTTGCTAAAAAAAAAAAATTACTGAATCAGAGTGCTCGAAATATGAGAAATATGTGTAAACTTTAATTAAAATATCAAAACCTAAATTTTTGTTTAATTAACGAAATCTAATCAACGACTCGGGGACACCCGGTAGGCAGCGAACAAGGACGAGATTAACTTAATAATATGTCGAATGCGTGTGTATTATACATATGTACATACAGGACAAACATAAAATCGTATGATGTAAGAGGAGCGCAGTTGATTACGACTAATTAATTAGTAGGCGGATCAAATCTATGAAATGAGGGAGGCTGGGGAGGAAATGAGTTGTAGTCTGTCGTTTGTATTCTGCGTGCGTTAAAAAAAAAAAAAAAAAAAAAAAAAAAAAAAAAAAAAAAAAACACTATCTTTGTGCAATTTATTCCGCTCGGACAGAAAAACGAAAAGTACGGCGCCAAGTATACGGAACAGAAAAGCTAGAGGCAGGATTTTTTGCCCCGTTGTTTACTTATGGAAATAACGGTAAACACAACCCGGTCTAGCCGGCTTGTCACGGGAGTTTACGAACTGGGAAAGTAAAATGCTAATATGTCTTTTGTTATATTTCGTTCGGAAGCGTCATCGCCGCCTCGGCGTATTCTTTGATATCGATTCTCACGAATACCCTTAGAACGAGATATATTATCCTTTCATAGCAAACTAAACAATTTTTCTGTCTAAAAAATTAAACAGGTCATTTTAAACATATGTTTTTCGAATCTTGATTATTAAATTCAAACATACTAATTCGTATTAAAAGTTGTGCATATTATTTAAGTTATTTAAATAATTTTATAACTTATATTATATATAAAGTTTTTTATATAACTAGTATAATAGGAAGCTGCTTTTTTAAATTAGTAATTAATTATACTTATATTCATGCTTTTATGTATCTATAAAAATTTTTTTTTTTTTTTTTTTACGAAATTAAAAAAGTTTATAAACACCGAGGCGGATGCGACGATTTGACAGACAACTATTTTTGACGCTCTTCATACACGCTTGAAAATACTCATCGAGAAAAGCTCACGGAGAACGAAACGATTTATCCGTAGAGATCTTTCTCTCCTATTTATCTGAACATTATTGGATCGTCAAGGAATTATTGCTGCGATAAAAAAGATATATTTTATATATACTTAAAGTTCTTTCATTATTTAATAATGGTGTTAATAATAAATTGAGATCGCTCACTGGGTTCCGTGTGTTTAATAATATAATTTTCATTAAATTTTTAAAACAATTTCCTATCCTTTTCTAATATAAATGAAGCAGATTTCAATATTAATAAGACTTTATTTTTCTTTGGTGAATAATAATCGATTGACGATCCAATTAATATCACAATAAATCATTCAAGAGTACCTTGATCGACCGGAAGTGTCGCGCCTCGCTGATGTGCATTAAGTCTTCTCCTGGCTCCTTTTGCTTTGGGTGCTTGGGGCCCAAGGTCACAAGGAATGGTACTCGCCCAGCACGAGGCCGCTATGGTAACTCGCGTGCGACGTCGACATCCCCATGGAGCCCATACCCTGGTAAGCGCCCATGCCCATGCCGTTCATCGACATGGTGTTCATGGTGTTGACACTCTGCATGGTGTTCGACAACATCGTCGAGGGCCCCATCGGGCTCAACCCGCCCATGGAAGGCGCGATCGCGCCCATTTGCATCGACGTCGCCGTGTGCGGCAAGGACTTTTGCAGATCCGCAGAGGTCGGCGTGCCAATTAGATAGTCCTGTCGAGCAGAAAATCGTAACTTCGTCTCGCGAGAGAATACGGATGTCGATGCGTGATATAAGACACATGTATATATGTGTTCGAATTCTATAATATATTTACACAGAGAGAATTTTCTCTTAATTTACCCTGAAAATCATGGTAATCTAAGACAATATAATATTGAAAGAATTTTAGAAGAGTTTCTCTGATTAATATTTACCACAACAAAAAATATTAATATCTATCACAATAAGATATAAAATATGTTCGATTAATTTTACTATGTACATATTAATATTTTTTATTGTGGTGAATATTAATCAGAGAAACTCTTATAAGATTCTTCCAATATCATATTGTATTGTCCCACGATTACCCTGACTTTCAAGGTAAATTCTAAGAGAAAATTCTCTCCGTGTAGAATCTGAAAAATCTTGTGTTTTTTTTAGATTTTCGAATGTAGAGTACATTTTAAAAATTTCAATATCTTTGAATAATTTATTTTAATCTTCTTTAGAATTTTTAAGAATACGTATGCACGCGCGCGCGCGCCATGAAACGTCAAAATGACGTCATTTTAATGTCGACGTTTAATTGACGTCAGTTTGCTACACTGAAAAAAATCCATGTACTTTTACATGGAAATTACTAGTTCAGAACTGGAAAAGTTACTTGCTTATCACTGTAATTTTTTTTCCATTTGTTTTAAAGTGAAAATACATATAAAACATAGGTAAAATTACTATTTCTATGCAAAAATTATATGTAATTTTAAATTTACTATTTTTCCTTTATTAGAACTTTATTTCATAAATATTTATCTATTTTATTTATAGCATTTATACATTACCAACATTTCCCACGTGTAATTACATGTTCAGTGAAATATATTTAATCTTGAAAATATTGAAGAAATTTCATATAAAAAATTACATATAATCTGTAATCTTCCATGTAAGTATCAATAATCCACGATTATACTGGGTCGGAAAAAACCTAGCTTAATCATGTAATTTTACATAAATATTTTTTCAGCGTCCTCGGGTTGTTATTTATGAACGTAAATTGGAAAAGTTCGCCTTACCTGCGGACTGTAGTACTGCATGTAATCCAGCTGACTCTTCTGCTGAGCGCAACTGGGCGGTGGTGGTGGCAAGGTAGCGGTGGGATGAACGAGACCGTGGGCGCCGACTTGGATATGATGCTGCAGCTGATGGTGGAGGTTCCTCTTGTCGTCGCCGCTCTCGCTGCTCGTGTCATGGTGCTGCATGTGCGGGTGGCTGAGAGACGTGCCGTGACTCTGGTGATACGAATGCGGGCTGGAGACCGTGACCGGAGGCGGAAGCTGGTACATGCCCGAGGTTTGCTGGTGGTCCACCATCTGCTGCTGCTGCTGCTGCTGTTGTTGCTGCTGAACGGCGCAGGAGGATGGCTGCTGCTGCGGCTGCTGTCCGGATTGCCGCTTCGTCTCGTCGCCGCTCTCGCTGCTGGAGTCTCCTAGACCCCCACCGTGAGTCTTGTCCTCCCTCTGCCCACTGAAATCGGAAAGCGAAGCGTTTGCCTTTTATAAAAAGAACAGCTGAGAGCCTTCTTTCTTTCCTTTTTCGAAGATTTATGTTTTGCATAAATAAATAAAAACGCGCGTTGTGTGCGAGGCGTAGTTGCAAGAATAACAAAAAGCAGCGGACGCAAGCCGGTTTAAACAAAGTTTTATGTTAATTATACCGTTATCATACATCGCGTTTGAGCTGTTATGCTAATTATATCCTATTATATTTCGCCGTTATCAAATTTTATCTTCTTAACGATCGTCTCATATATCTATCCTCTCTTTCTTTTATTCGCGCTCCCATCTATGTTGAAGAATTATTCATTCTTCTGGCTCTCTATGAAGGAATACAAATATTATGAAAAATCTTTTAATTATTATTTCAAGCAGAGTTTTGCCTCATTGAATATAATACCGCGTGTAGAGACACACAAATATCTGTGATCATCACTGTGATCCCTTCTTCTTATTAGCCATACGTTCTCTATCAACCCATTAATGAAGACATCCCAGGGGCCCGATTTAATTGCGTTCGCGAGCGCGAACCCTCGATAATCCGGCGACGCCGATCTCGACTGGGGAATCGAAATAATATCGTCTAAGATAACACCGGCACAGGCGCGTAAAGTACCGAGAAAAGGGTACCTATATTCCAGCGACTCTGCTGTACTTGTGAATTAAGGGCGGGCGCGGAATAAGATTTTAAAAAGGCGCGCAAATGGAAAAGGGAACGGAAGGAAAAAAGAGAGGAAAAGAGAAAAGGCGAGAAAGAGAGAGAGACGCTCTTGGTGTCTCGTAAACTCAATTTAGCAGCCTGGACCTCCTCGAAGCACGTGGGACCCACGGCCGAGCTTCTCCCTTTGTTTACCTCTCTTTCTACCTTTTCCACATCTCCACTTCTTTGTCTATCTCCCTCAGGTACCCAGCAATCGTTAAGCGCTTGTTTTACAAGTCGTTTAGACGCGAGACCGGTGATATCGCACGTTCAAGGCAAGTGCTGCGATACTTGTCTCTACGGGGTGTTTCCGAGAACCGGTCTTCGAGCACGAGAGAGAGAGAGAGAGAAACTACCGAAGTGATAAGAGAACACGGAAGACATCTCGAGCAATCTCGAAGAGCGTAGAAACATGTGTGACTTCAAATTTCCGGAATACTTTATAATTACGTCAAATTGAGATAAAGCGAATTAGGATATTATATTTAAATAAACATGTACACCGAGAGAATTTTCTCTTAGAGTTTACCCTGAAAATTATGGCAATCGAGGTATTAATATTTTATAAGAGTTTCTCTGATTAATATTTAGCACAATGAAAAATATTAATATCCATCACAAGAAGGTATAAAATAGGTTCGATTAATTTTACTATGTACATAGTAAAATTTACTATTTTTTATTGTGGTAAATATTAAGAGAAACTCTTATAAAATTCTGTCAATAGCATATTGTCTCACGATTACCATGATTTTCAAGATAAATTCCAAAAGAGAACGTTCTCTTCATAAATATTCTACATTTTCATTTTTTAGACATTACAAATTATAATATACAAAAGCAATGATTTATTAAGTCAACATAAATCTGAAAAACTGTTTCCGCGAATCCAGATATGAATACAAAAAATATTATTTTGATCATTTTTATATTTTTGTCTATCACAAACTACATGAAAATTAAATTCATCGATATGAATTTTCATTTTAGAGGCGTACCATATAATAACACCTTAATTAATTGAATCGCGACTTTTGTATCGTCCGTATGTATAGAGTAAGAAAAAGATATGTTATCCTGTGTACATCAAAGGCGACGTCCAAAACTGCGTTTATCGCACTGATCTTTTTCGAACCACCCCTTAAGAGATGCTATCTACACAATCATAATTACGTACTGGTTTCCAATTCCTGCACGCGAGAGATAAAATGTCTAATTAGTCGGGACGTTATTTTTGTTATATTCTAGTATTAAACGAGAAACACCGAAACAACGTAGGACCGCCGGGTCTATCGCATTGATCTTTTTTTCGTACCACCCGTTACATGGTGGAAGAACCTATAACCGGATGGAGGTGTCCCCAGGTATGCCTTATCTGTTCCGTGGATCACGCAGTAAATTTATCCGCGTTGCGTCGCACAGCCACGAGAAAAAGAACGGAATCTTTCGGGGTTATTATTATTTTCATTAGGATTTGTGACTCATCGCGTGCAAAAGGCATTTATTTTGAAGCCGTGACACCTACCTCGCGTCTTCGGATCGACGCTTCTCTCTTTTTCTTCTCTCCTTCGACGCAACTATGTATGTACATAGGATCGAAGAGATACAGGCCTTTTAAATGTTGGAAGCTTCGCCTTAACATGACTCCGAAACTCCGAAGGGAATAATCAATAATTATCTTCATGCCGACTTATCGTGTGATCTCTTCGTGTCTCTTCTCTTGCCTCTATTATTTCTTCAATTCTTTATATATAACAATAAGAATCAATCAGCTAAATTTAATCAGGTATCTTGTTATATGTGGAAAATAATCGATCGCGCGAAATATCGGAAAGAATCAGCGTTAATTAATTTCCACGGTCCTTAATTGAAAACCAAGCCGCATTTTAATGGAATGTATTGTTTAATTAAATCCAGTTATTAATGGAAATAAATTTAATAATTAAAACATTTACGTTAAAATTAGTCAAGTAACATAAAAGCTATTCTACATGTGTAATTAACGTATATCAATTGTGCTATATATATATATATATAATCAATGGAAATAAATTTGAAATAATTTTTTTTATTTCGAATGTTTATGTTTCTGTCGCGCACACCTAAGTCGAGATCAACGTCAAGGCTTATAAAAAATGTCGGGAATGCGACGAGATTCTATCTACGGACGGTTCTACGTGAATTGCCGTTGTCTCACGAAAAGTAGACGAATCGATCTTGGCCGACCGCTGCGGAATTTTCAAGTAAATCTTATTTACGAACTTGACCGATTAATAAAACCATAGCCGCGCCTTCGCCGATCATTATCTTTCTCACGTCCTAAAGTCGAGATCAACGACTTCGGCTATTAAGTCATCAAAAAAAAAAAAAAAAAAAAAAAAAAAAGTAAATCAGGCGGGTGAAATTGTTTTACAGCGAATTTAAATAATCTATAAATAGAATAACATTAATTGCTGTGTTTCGGAAATTATTTTTATTGATTTATTAATTGTCGAATTAATTATCGTATCTCGTAATACAATTTAATTTATTGAATATATATGTAATTTATTAATTCGCGCATATATGAATATATTATTTTTTTGTTTTATATTTTTATTTAATTTTGAAGAAAATTGTCTTATAAATCTGTGCTATGTAAACTTTAGAAATTGCGCGAGATTGCTGGTGCAGCGTCAATCCAGCAAATTACATCGTACGAGCGACTTTATAGAACATGTCTTAATTTAATTGAGTGGCGCAAATCACGTATGTACACATAAATAATTGAGGAAACGCGATCCCATAAAACTGTTCATTCATGACGATCAATTTCGGATTGAGAAAACTCATGTCTCTATATTATATATATATATATATAAAACATATATAGACACTTGGTACTGTGTGTATGTGTGTGTATATATATATATATATATATAGGCCGCATTAGCATAATTTCTAATTTAATTTCTCGATAAATTCCTGATCGCACTCGCCTCGAAATGAGATGCTATCGCGGCATCGCTAATTCGCGTGTCTAAGTTTATATCGCCCGAGACCGGTACGAGACAAGATGGTATCTTTTCTTTCTCTCTCCTTCTCTTTCTGGTGGTTTCCTCATAAAATCGGATTATATCGGCTTTGTCGCCCCTGCGTTGTCGCACACTTTATTCCGGTCTACGTGCGATATCCACCCGTGGAAACGAGTTTGGGTCAGAGTGCGACTGCAGAATCCTTTTCCTTTCTCCCTTTTTTTCTTGTCTCGGAATCTCTTACGTGTCGTTATTATTAGTACGCGAGCGAATAGGAATTTCAATTCCTCAAGAACCGAGAATATGTAATTATTCGAGAAACTCTCGCAATGCGCGTATACGAGAAAAGATTTTTTACCGGATCCGCAGCAGCTTCTCTACATCTCTATAAGTCGGTTTAACTTACCGGTGTTCTTCTATGTAACTTCCAAATTGATTTTTCGCATTCCAAATATCCCACGCAACCGTCGCGTTTCGCTCTCGAGAAGATCCGCCAGTCTAGCCTCCGGGATTACTTAACTCGCTGAAGAAGGCAGAAAGGCAAACTTCGGGCTCCGTGGAGAGCAAATTGAAAAATCGGCCGACCCGTTTGTCGGCCCCGAAAAATCTCGAGGAACTCAAACGGCGGATTTCCCGGCGTGGAAACTCCGGAGAAGCTGGAGGGATCCATCTCCGTCCACTCCTCTCTCGGCAGGTGAGCACGTCGAGGAAGTTACTGGCAGCTGATTCCATAAGCAGATAGGGAAGGAGAGTTTCCCGGGCCTAAAATAATGGGGAGCAGCGTACCGTGTACACACCGTACGAGCCTCTGTTTGTAAACTATGGCGCTTCTAGCTTTCCCTCTATACCTGCAGGCTCTCTGGGAGTTCTGAAAACGTCCGGGCGAATTTCTCGCGCGAACACCAAATTTAGAAATCATCCGCCGGGAATTCGAAATCATTGGCAGGTTCGATTTACCGGATTGTAAATGATGAGCGTCAAACTATGCGACGATCGAATCGTGTTTCTGTTACGATGTGGGTAAACACAAGTCCAGATTTTCCTTCTTGAAAACTGACGTATTCGCCGAAGAATAATAATAAAATTTCCCGGATTGTGAAGACATGAGAAACGTCACCTCAAACTACGATGATCGTGTGTCTGTTATGACGTGTGTAAACACAAGTCAAGATTTTCCTTCTAAATCAAAAACTGACATATTCGCTAAGAATAATAATAAAATTAAAATTAAAATTAAATTCTATCGTTTTAAAATAC